TTGCACTCACCCCGACCCTCGCAGTCGTAGCCATGGCCGCAGATCATGGGCTCACCGTCCAAGAATTCAGCTACACACGAGGAGACGCACAAGACAGCAGCATTTTTTAATGGTGAAATTGCATCGTTTTAATGTCCCGCCCCTATCAACACTATTAGGTTAAGGGCAGTGTTTCACAATCATTTTAACAATAGAAATGACGATGATGCTAAGAAGTATATTGACATTACAGTGGAAGAAATGTTGGGTACATTTAGTCAAATTTTTTATTAAATACACCTATTTTTCTTCACGTTTCCATTTTATCATTTTTTTTTACAGTAATAATAATGATGATGATGTTAATACTAATACATAATTGTAGCACTGATAACTCTAATTGTAACAGTTCCGATAATATTAATAAAAACAAGAATAGCAATGATGATGGTAGTAAGAATAATGATGAAGATAATTATATATAACTGTAACAATAATAATTCTTACAGCAACACCACTCATAATACTAATAAAAATAGCTAGAATAATAATGCAGCTTCCAGTGTGGTTGAGTCAACTAACAGTCTAAACAAAATCATCTCGCACTGACTCACTACACAGTATCAACTGTCACTTATTCTCTATATAGTATCGTCTCGCACAGACTCTCAATACAGTATCATCTCGCAATTACTTTCTACACAGTATCATCTTACATTAACTGTCCATACTGTAACATCTCGCACTATTCATACAGTATCATCTTGCACTTCCTCTCAATAGAGTATCATCTTACAATTACTCTCAATACAGTATCATCTGTCACTTACTCTCTATACAGTATCATCTCGCAATTACTCTCTATACAGTATCATCTCACAATGACTCTCTATACAGTATCATCTCGCAATTACTCTCTACATAGTATCACCCATGACGTACTCTGCACGTTGTATAATCTGTGACTTAGAGTCTACTTGGTATGATCTGTAACTTACTATCTACGTGGTATGATCCCTGACTTCCTATCTAAGTGGTATGATCTATGACTTACTCTCTACGTAGTATGATCTATGACTTACTCTCTACGTAGTATGATCTATGACTTACTCTCTACGTGGTATGATCTATGACTTACTCTCTATGTGGTATGATCCCTGATTTCCTATCTACATAGTATGATCTGTGACTTACTATCAACGTAATATGATCTGTGACTTACTATCTACGTAATATGATCTGTGACTTACTACCTACGTACTATGATCTGTGACTTACTAGAATTAAACTCAAAGCAGGCACTGTGTAGCTTGCCGTAGAACAGTTCGAGACCGACGATGGCGTAGATGATGATGACGAAGATAACAAGTAGGGCGATGTGCAGCAACGGGACCATGGCACGGATGATGGAGTTCAGGACCACTTGCAGACCTGGGAAGGCGAGCGGGGGGAGGGGGGGAGGAGACAAGTCATGATTATGTGTGGAAGGAAGAACCAATATAATAGCAGTACTAAAGTAGTTGGTAATTGTAGGAGTTTTTAGAAGGGCTGCCCACCTACCAGTAAATGTTTAAGTAATCAACAAGTAGAAAATTAGTAAGCTGGTTTAAAAATTCATAATATGGCCTTGTGAAACCTTCTTCGACAGGGTGTCAAGGACAGGGGTTGTAGACCAGTATAGTATATGTAACATAAACAAAGGTGTGATGAGACAGACAGACAGACAGATGACAGACTGACAGACTGATAGACGACTCAAGCACACACATACACACACAAAACAAACGGTAAACAAAAAGGGACGCGGCAGAAGTGGGTGAGTGGGTGGGTACGTGGCAGAGTCAGATAGAGAGAGAGAGAGTTAAAGAGAGAGAGAGAGTGAGAGAGTGACACAGAGTGAGAGAAAGAGAAGGAGACAGAGAGACAGAGAGAGTCAGAGAGAGAGAGAGAGAGAGAGAGAGAGAGAAAGACACAGAGACAGAAAGGGAGGGGGTGGGGGTGAGGAGGAATCACAACAAGGGTTTAAAGGTGAGGGGTTACAGGTCAGGCTACTCACTGGGCGCCCTTGAGACGAGTCGCAGCGGTCGTAACACCCTGAAGGCCCTGAGAGCTTTGACGTCGAAGGCTTTGTGCTGGATGAAGGACAGGATCTGGCTGATGATACTGTGGGATACACAACAAGAGGAAGACAGGTTACAAAATGTGCCACTGGTTCATTGTAGGAATGAACGAATAATAAAATTAAACGGAATAATAACAATAATGCTCATCATTATCATTGTAATAATAATAATAATAATATACTAAAAACAATGATAATTATAATGATAAAAAATAATATTAACAATTATATGCTAATACTAATGATGATAATAATGATTTTTTAAAATTTACTAGTAACAATGACAATAATGAAAAAAAAAATCATAAATAGCCTTCACATAGCTTTTATACATGCTCTACAGCATGCCAGGTGGGGGATGGGGAGAGATACAGAGAGAGAAAAGGAGAGAGATATAGGGAGAGACAGAAAGAGATGGAGAGAGAGACAGAGAGAGGGGGGTGAGAGAGAGGGAGAGAGAGGGCAAGAGAAAGA